CTCTCCCCCCCCCCCCCCCCCCCCCGTTTTGTTTTTTTTTTTTTGGTCTCTTCCTATGGAGTTAAACCAAGAGCCGAACCACGTGAATTTCCTGTGTTCATTCTCTTTTAACTATTTTTCCAAAATCCAAATTAGCACCAATTAAATTTCTTCATTCTCTAACTGTTTACTCTTTCACACGAACCGTTCGACAAAATACACATATATTAAAAATATAATTTTCACGAAAAACCATTGGAGACCAAAACCTTACAAAAAATTGTTCCATTTCATTTATATTTTCGCTATAAAATTAACTATTATTTGATCAGGTTGTTAAATTATTCTTCATTTATACAGAGGAGACAAGTTGAGTTGGGAATTTATCTGCTTTTTTGACTGCATATCAAAGAACAAATAGATACTTGTAATACAAGTTTCATCTATGCCTCTCTATTTTCCTCATGCAGAAGAGTACAGATACTTAAAAGTTGCTTATTTCTATCCAATCAAACAACACTAATATCCAGTCTTAGATATGCTCGTATCTTATGCAGTCAATAGTAAGAGACATTGTCGTTAACATCAAGCAACATTTATATATTTAAGTGGCGAAGAATGATTGTAATTCAACATTAGTTTATAGTTTATACCTATAAAATTTTAAATTATTTTTGTTTCATAATATCATCCAATAATCTAGGTGGCCAAAAGATTGGATAAGACTAGACGAAATGAATAAAGACGTCTGATAAAATTTAAAAATATAGGTTATTGTCCAATTCAATATATTAAACACGAAAAAAAAAAAAAAAAAAAGGACATTCTTTTTCGCAAAATACACAATCCCCGTAATGCATTTTACAGAAAACATTTTACTTAACATAGATATTTGAGGAATATGATTCAATGAATAAAGACGTCTAGAGTTACAGATATCTTAAGAATTTTAGATGTGTGAATCAAAATCTTTGATAGCCTGTCGTACTGATTTTCATGCTGGAACAAGTTGCCAAGAAATTCATCTTCAGCCGAAACTAAGCCCTGTTCACTTTGCTAAAAATCATATTTTAGTAAATTTTAATAAAATTTGATAAAATATAATAACAAAATTGTAAATCTCATGAAATATGCAATTGAAATTAATTGTTAACTTTGACTTACAACCTATTTGGAAGTGATTTTTTTGCCCAAAAAATTGTTTTTTTGATCGCTATTTCATTATTTCAACCGTCATATTTAACTTCTTCTCTCACAGGTGAACCTCACTTTTCTCTTAACGGTCAAAAACTCAATTCTCAAAATCACTCCCAGCTCTTAAATTTTTATCAATTTTATTGCTAAATCAAATAGGGAAAGCACCATTCCTTCTTTCTTTACACGAATCATGAAGTATTCTCTTATGTACATCGTACAAATTATCTTCGGTTTCCTAAGCAAACAGAATTGTGTGGTCGTGGACATGTCGAACTTTTCATCTACTCATAATTCTATACAGTGCAATGGGGTGGCGTTCCAACCCCATTAGTCAAACAAAATCGAAAAGGTTTCTTTACTTCACATGCTAAAGGAAGAAAAGTCGAATTCTATTCTAAATGAGAAACTTGGACGACTATCTATTTTTGGAAAAGCAAAAACATATATTTGCAATACCATTTTGACAAGATATTTACTTCTATATCTAAAAAAAACTTCCCAAAACTACCTTAATTCAACTTTCTCAAAAACTCTTCTAACCAAACAAAGTGTTTCAAAAACATTATCTGAACATGTACAAAAGCTGCTCATAATCTCAAAAGTAATTTTTAGCTCTTCAAAAATCCTTCCAAACAAGCCATTTTGATTTGTATCTTAATGATCCGTTTTTATTGTTCGCTTATCCATTGAAATTTTTTAAACTGCCGAAGGTTAACAAATTTCCAGGAAGAAGCCACCCAAAATGCTTTGGAAATTGAAAATTAGCTTACACCTCAAAGTGCAGTAGTATTTGATCACTAAGAAGTCATAATAGACGTAAAGAGACATCATTTCTCCACGAGTTACTCGACTATTTTGTCAAGTTTAATAGAGAGACTCATTACTCCCTCAACGAACTAGTCCAATACAAATCTCTCATTCCTCGTCGACCTACAAGGTATTACGAGCATAAATGTTGTGCAAGGCTCCCTGCAATATCTACCCAACCAAAGTCAAAACCAGAGTATTGCTCATGCTTTGGAAATTGAAAATTAGCTTACACCTCAAAGTGCAGTAGTATTTGATCACTAAGAAGTCATAATAGACGTAAAGAGACATCATTTCTCCACGAGTTACTCGACTATTTTGTCAAGTTTAATAGAGAGACTCATTACTCCCTCAACGAACTAGTCCAATACAAATCTCTCATTCCTCGTCGACCTACAAGGTATTACGAGCATAAATGTTGTGCAAGGCTCCCTGCAATATCTACCCAACCAAAGTCAAAACCAGAGTATTGCTCTTTTAAGCTTAGCCAAACATGACGAGAATCACTCATCACCAATAGACCACCTCCTCATTGTCATTGCTAGATCACTTCCTTTCCTGCAAAGCCATTGCTTAAGGACTTTAACCAACTATCCCTCTTGGGGAATTTAACATGCAACCCCCATCCAGTTTGGTGATCTACTCAGACAGAAATGATAAACGAAATATATGGCTTGAGCAAGACCTCAGAAAATGAAAAGGACAATATATAACATGAACAATCATCAAACCAAATTGAACCTATCAAATTCCAGCAATGGAAAAACTCGAGTTCAGTTTAAGGTGCATCAAATTGGCATCTTGAATACCAAAACTACTGCAGGATGACCAGAAACATGAACTTTATTCATCCCCTCAAGTTTGTGTTCTTGTGCATAGAAAATAGAAAACACAGAAATCTTAGGCAATTATTTAAATTGACAATTTGCTAAAAAAAAATGCTCTTGCATCAATATTATATTGGTTCACACTCACAAGTTAAAAGAAATACTAAACTGTGTTGCACAGCATGACAAGACAATTCATTGGCGGTATACATTCACCGAAAGACCCTAAAGCAATGTTATTGGCACATCAACTTGTACTATTAAGGTAATTGGTTCACAAGGTTCAAATAAGTACATGTTCTCATATCTTCTTAAATCAGCAGACATTTTCTACAACATAAGGGCATGTTGAAGAATGAAATCTACTTGATTTTGAGCACAATTTTAATCAATCCACCATTGCCACTGACTGCATTTGCTTACCCAGTAATTAGAACATAAATGAAGACCAAGTACATAACTCATTGCATAAAGATCCCATGGTTGAAAATGGTTCATAAATTTTAAGACAGCAGATAAACATATGGTTGGAAGAACCCAAGCAGAAAAGGGGTCCGAGGAGTGGTGGTATATTGGTACCATTTAACAGGACTGATCATGTAAAATTAGTCTGCAAGCCAATTGACAAATGCCATTAGCAATTGTAGCACACAGACAGCTATATTATAAAAGCCATTATCTTCACCGCAACCTTCTTAGAAGTCATAGGAAGGAACACTTGTGTTCTAATAATATGATTATATCATTTCAAGATCTTGTTCAAGTTCATTTCGACAAGTTTTCTACCATGAGAAAATCTACTAGCAGTTACCAGTTGAAGCGACCAGGTATTCGTTTGAGCCTGCACTACTGGTAGTGGCGCTGCTTAAGTTCAAATATCTCCCAGAAAATTCTAAAAGCTGAAAAGAGAAAACCGGAGAGGCACCAAACTTTGCAAGTTGCTCAGCAGTTCAGCTAGTGTTTATTGCGGTTAAGCAGCCCTTGAAATGATAAATAAAGATCTTTATTTTCCATCCCAAAAATCTCTTCTGCTTTTCTTAAAGTTTCCTGGGAGTGTGAAAAATAAAAAGTAAGACAATTTTCATTTATCTATAAACAAAGAATTATATGTAAAAGGCCAGTGATAAAAACTTCATTAGAAAATATACTCAAGGAAATTGTCATCACCTCACGAGATTTTTTTTGTGCATTTAATTCCTTTATGTTAGCAAGAAATGCACTGAACTGCTCTAATGACAGACGACTCCTGCATTTAACAATAACCCAAAAACCATTAGAAGAAACATTCTACATAAGCATTTTCCATAAACCATGGTGATAATTTAGAGTTGAACCCACCTGGCTTGACGGAAGAACTCCTTTCCATCAATTCGAGGAGGACGAGCTAAAGTTTCAAAAACAGAAGAGCGTAGATAAATTAGCAGAAATATGTACGCCTTAAATAGTAATTACAAAATGGCCATCTTATAGACTAGAAAAAGTTGTAAAACAATTAGTAGTTTTATATATCGGCTGACAATACATAATCCGTCGAAGTACTATTGACCTGGCACTGGGAGTCCACGAGGAGGAGAGTTCGTTGCTGATGACTGCTGACTTGATGGGTACCATGAAGAGAGAGAACCACGTCCATATTGAATCCTAGGAGAGGTGGTTCCCGAAGTTTTCTTTGGAGATCCAGCAGCTGAGTACCTTCCTGGGGATGCACTGTTTGAAATTACTTTAGGAGTTCCAATTGGAGTCAGTCCTGATGTTATATATGGCGTTATAGAACATATTCGCCCAGCTTGCTTAGAGGCTGCAAAAGGAAAATCATAACAAGATAATATTATTGCTTATATCGAAACCTTGGTAAACAGATTTCCCAACTTACACTGCATAAAAACCACATTCTAGTAGAAATACCATTATCAGCTATGCTTGCAGTGTCAGTAGAACCACTATAAGAATGACATCTCGCATAGCCATTCGTATCTTCATCTGTAATAGTAAAAAACTAACATTAAACAACCACTGCTGGAAGGCAGTAGGAGACAAACAAATAAATGACTTGCCAATAACAACAGGAAACTAAAGCTTTTCCCATTAAATTTGGGGTCAGCTAATGAATCCCTTTTTGAAACTGCGTTCATTTCATTGCTACATCTTCAAGATTCTAAAGCAACTAAATCCTTAGCAACTAATATTGCAAAAAAATAAAAAATAAAATTTTTTGCCAAATAGGGCTAGATAAACACAATTATGGCCCCGTTTGATAGCCATTTTTTTAAAAATGTATTTTTCTCTCTCTTTTTTTCAACCACACATTCTTTATTAAAATAATATTACACGCAAATAAAAAAAAAAATTCCTTTTTTTTCAACCACACATTTCACATCAATTTACTATTCTAAAACGCATTTTTACATAAAAATAACTATTAAACACCCCCTATATATAGTAAATGATCAGAACTGAGAATTACCATTTTTGGTGTAGGCCTTGGAGACAGTATGGTCATAAGTACCAATATCTACAGTT